GGGGAGCAATTTCGTGCTACGCCTGTCACTCTGCAGGAGATGATCGGACCAGAGATGTAGCCCCACGTTGAACCCGGTCTCCACTTAGGATTACACTACTTTCTGTAAGTTGCCAGTAGGAGTTATTCATGGGCTGGGGGTGACCAGAGAAGGCACTATGCATCGACGGTCCTACGTCGATGTGGTGCACAATCAACCTTTTAGCGATCAAGTGGGCGTCGCTGATTCTCTCGTCTAGATGGATTCTAGCGCTAGTATAATAACAAGCATCAAGCCACGAATACGAATACTAGCTCCATAAAAGAAGGAATCGACCGAGTGAAGTATATCTTTCCAGAGCGATGCGTGGTTGGATTCATCATTTCTCGTTCCCTTTTACTTTGCCCTTTCCGATCTTTCATGTCCGATTGCGATTGCTCCGGATATCAATTATAATGGTGGACGGAGGTTCAACATCTTGGGACTTTTTCGCAGATCTTTCTTCCCTCTGACTGATTGCAGATCCATCAATCAGCAGGATGCAGGACATGGTCAGGTTGTCTTTCCTTGTCTAACATTTTTCATGGATGCTCCGCCCGGATATTGGCAATTGGCCGAGAACCCAAAGCCCCTCTTTCAAAACTTCTAGCCTCTTGACAATTCAATGCTGCCTAGACTCTTTGTTTTTGTCGTTTGTCTTTGATGTTTTATGAATTTCCTCTCCCAATGGCCACGATTGAATCTAGTGGCAAACCGGTTTAAATTCTAAACTCGATAAAGAAGTCAAACAAACTACAGTCCTTCATTCCTTCCATTCCTCTTCTCGGTAGGTGGGTATTTATCATGATATCTCCCGGATACTACTCCATTTTGAACGGACACAGGAATCGGATGCCTGCACTACCGACAGGTAATATGATTGGAAAAGGTAAAAAGAAAGAAAAAAAAAAAAGTCTCACTCCCATTCATTCATTGATTTATTATTCTTTCTCTCGCAAGCACAAACGCGGCCCGCTCCGGGCCCCATTTTCATCTGAATGGATACAACCAAAGAAAAACTTACCAGGGTCACACATCCCTTCCCCAACCATCTTAGTTTCAATATGCAAATTTAATTTATCAAGCATTCCCGACACTCATAACATGATCAGCTATTGACATCATAAGGATGGTTTGTTTCCGGTAAGCACCGGGTTGATCATTTCTTGAGGCGCCGTTTCGGCCATCGAACGATGAGTCTGCAGGGATTCCTCGATCGGGGCATTTTTGTCAAGTGGGATGGTGTTCAACGGTGTGGACCAATGGGTGAGATTGATCCTGGTCGCCGCAGAAAGGGGAGGGTCAACCCCCACTGTGATTATGGAGTCTTGAGGCAATGAGAGGGAGAGAGAGGGAGAGAGGGACAGAAGTCACCAAAAGTTAGGTAGCCCTCGCTTGTCCGTTAATCACCTCACCCTCCCCTATATGGCTATTCCTGAGGACCTGTTGCTGGCATGTCATGTTCAGTGAGGGTAGAATTAAATCTTCCAGCATGTACTGCTGTAGACTATTACCTTGATATATGTATGGGATGTGATGTCGACAGTCGTGATGGTGGTAGTTGTTCTATCGTCGGTTTCTCAGCCCGGAGTTGCCCGAGGTTTATTTATTTATTTATTTTTTTTTTTTTACTTTTCCTTGCTTTTCTTTTCTTAACCGCCATTTTATTTATTATTATTATTATTTTTTTAACCCTTACATGAGGCAATGAAAAAAACAAAGCACATGAGCCGCACCCAATTATCACGGTCCAAGCGGCTCACTGCTGACATTACGTTGGTGACCGTTCACTGGACCAACCAATCCCTTGGCGCATATACGAGTCATCTTCCGAATTTCCGATCGTGAAAATAAATCTGCTTGACACCCTAAAGCTTCCAAACGTAAGGATTCGTGTAAAAACCCGGCCAATTACGACAACTGCGTGGGCTTACGCCTGCCATTTCTGAAATAATACACTCTATTCGTCATCTACCTGAGCTTGCATTATTGTGCTTGCGTATGGGTTTCGGTGTAGATCACAAACTATGAATACTCGACAGGCCCGTCATGCACCAATGACAAGCCCGCGCTCCAGGAGGTCCAGCCATCCCCCTCTGCTTATCGCATGTACTACTTCGTTGGCCTACACGCCACAGGTCTATGGGTAGGGTCCACATTAGGTTCATTCTAGCGACCGGAGTAGATTGGATGGATAGCACAACAGCTACAGTTTGCCTTTTTGATGCATTGCGTTCTGGACGGCCTTGACTCGTTCCCAGGCGGCCAACGCGAACGGGGTAGTCTTTTTGGCATGCTCGTGCGCCTTGGCACTGCTGGCTTGTCTCAGTGCATACCGAGCCTTGACTCCTTGAAGGATAATCGAGAGCCTCCAGGCAAAGAAAGCGTCTCCCCAGGGGAGGTCCGGGGTCGGGTCCCATCCTCCCACTTCGTGATACCACCGCATGCAGTCTTCACGCCTGGGCAAACCAGGTATCCGTTCAGGTTGGAACTGGTCGGTTGTGTGGTCGGTGCCATCGAGATAGTACGGACTTGTGAGGTTGCAGAAGTCCGATAGTGGATGCCCCACTGTAGCCATCTCCCAGTCCAGGATACCGATGACGCGGGGTTCAGTCTTATGGAAAATCATGTTGTCGATCTTGTAATCGCCATGGACTAGCGTGCCGCGATCCTTCGGCTGAGTAGACTTATTCGAGAAGAAGCGCACCGTCTCCATAAAATGCGGAAGTTCCCCCACTGGCTCCTTGGTCTCAACGTCAACCGCCTGAGACTGCGCTTTGGACACCGTTGAGAAGGTGGAGATCTGTCGATCATAGTACCCCGACGGCTTTCCGAAAGTTTCCAGTCCAACTGACTTGGGGTCGACTCGATGGAACTTAGCCAGGGTCTGCACCGCTGCCTTCCACCTGCAAGGTTCTTAGTAATCCGAACTCATCCTCGGATGACGCGTGATAATCAAACTCACAATGCGTTTCTTTCCTCAGCGCTAACTCCCGGCATGGCAGGATCGGTAAATAGCCGACCGTCCAAGAACTCCATGATATAGAACGGGGTCCCAATCACATTGCTATCCTCACAGAGACAGTATGCCTTTGGGACCGGGACGTCCGTCTGCTCTAGTGCGTGAATGACCTTATATTCGCGTTCGACCTTGTGCGCGGTCTTGGACAGGAGCTTGCCCGGGGGCTTCTTGCGCAGGACGTACTGTCTTCCATCGGTGCCGGTCAGCAGATAAGTTGGATTAGACTGTCCGAACGAGAACTGTGGGGAGTCAGCTTGTGCCCATCAACCATACTCTATTTGGTCTCACTGTGCTTACTTGTTTCACATCTATTGGTGTCTGGATCTCAGGTACATTCTGATTGAGATACCGCTCCAGGGACGGGATATCAATTGGTTGGCGCACCGCTCCAGCCATGGCCAACAGTTTATAGTAATTAAAACAAACAAGTTGGATTGATTTTTGTGAGGTACTAATAGTTATCTGCGAACTAGATGCCTAGATCGCAGGGAAGTTAGCGGAATCATTCTGAAGACAGGAGGTCCGGCAATAAATGCAGGGGAGATCAATTGTGAATGTCCTGTTCAGCGTCGGCGACCACGGACCGAGGCTAAACAGCAGCACTCCCTCATTGGCATTTGCGGGGCGTCGGTAACCTCCATACTAGTAGCTGCTGGACCCCCAAGTAAAATTTTCATTGATAGCAGGTCTAAACTTAACTTTTGCATTATTCTTTCTACCGAATGGGTTATGTCATTGGCTAGAACCTGTTTACATACGGTATCTTTCGTAAAGGTTGATACACTCATTCCCACCCCCAAATTTGCAACTCTTTCCCTCTGATTACCGATTCGCACACCACCTAGGTTAAACTTTAACAAATGCAAACCACCCAAACACCATGCCCCTAACGCCAAGCCCATTAAACGCGCTACGCGTCTACACGCGCATAACCACATCGGCCTTGATCCACCACCACACACCGCAACGACCAAACCATCTCAATTACTTCAAAAACCTCTTCACAACCATGACCAAAGAGACTACTCCTCCCCCATCCGAACAACAACAAACAACGACAAGAGAACCCCCCTCCCTCCCGGCCTCACCTCTCGCCAAGCGCCCCAAGCCCAACACCACTACCGAAGACCAGCCCAAAATGACCAACGACACCCCCGTCACCTCTATCTCGCAGCCTCTGCCCCCGCTGCTCATCAAGAAGCTGAACGAGGACGGTCGCGCCCCGACCCGTGGTTCCGCCTTCGCCGCCGGATATGATGTCTACGCTGCTAAGGAGACGGTTATTCCGGCTAGGGGGAAGGCGTTGGTCGATACGGGGATTGCTATTGCTGTGCCTGAGGGGACTTGTATGTTTTTTCTTTTTTCTTTTTTTTTTTCCCTTCTTTTTCTGTTCTATCTTGTTTCCGGGTTTGTGATGGGAAATTGAATGAGATGAACGAGTGGGAGAAGAATGTTATGAATGTTTGGCTAATTCATGATAAAAAAAATAATATAGACGGCCGCATCGCACCCCGCAGTGGACTCGCAGCGAAGCATTTCATTGACACCGGAGCTGGAGTCATTGATGCCGATTATCGTGGTGAGGTGAAGGTTCTCCTGTTCAACCACTCCGAGGTTGATTTCCCCGTCAAGGCTGGGGATCGGGTTGCTCAGCTTATTATTGAGAGGGTATGTTTTTCTCTTCTTCTTCATGTTCCTTTCCTCACCCCGCTCCCTTGGTTCTGGTTTATTATGAATTATGTGGGTGCTGTCTGGTTTGATTGCTGACTTATGGTACTAGATTTATACCCCTGAGGTTTTGGTTGTGGAGGAGTTGGAGGAGAGCGTGCGTGGTGCGGGTGGTTTTGGTAGCACTGGTACTAACTAATGATGATATGATTGGTTTTGTATGGGATGGGTTTTCATATACATGGCGTTGGTTATATAGAAAAGAATTTGCATTTTTTTTATTACTCTATTATTCTCTCTTTTATCTTTGGGGTGCTGTTGGGTGGTATAGACTGGTACGGAAGATATGATTTAATCTATTAAATCATTAGACTTAACGCCCATAGATAGGTTAGATATGTATGTATGTATGTATGCTAGCCGTACATATTTATCGTCTAGTTCTTATCTATCGTACGTTACATAGACAGCACAAGTAAAGTTGATCTATTGGCTCCCCGCCGGTAAATCCTCTTTCCTCCACTCCTGCGCCTGAAATACCATCGTCGGCTCACGCAGATACTGCACATTCCTCACCAATCTCACCTCAGCCGCTTTACTCTTCCGCAAATGCTCCCGCTTCAGCCTTTCCTCCTCACTAAGCAACTCATCGCCCCGGGTATCAGCCGCCCGGATCTCCGCATCGCGCGCCTCCATCGTCTTCTCGAGCACGCTGTGCATGCTCGCCAGAACCTGCACGGTTGCTCGCGCAAGAGGGAGATCCGTAGCCTCGACATCGTCAGGGGACACCCAGGACTTTGTCGCGCGGAGTTGGGGCTCCGCAGCGAAGACAGCTTCTCGGAGTCGGGCGACGATGAGCGCGGCGAACATGTCGCCGGTGCCGCTGAAGTAGCAGTCCAGGGCTGGGACGTCGACGCGGAAGAGACGTGGGGAGCCGTCGGAGCGGGTTGTGGAGCCGATGACTGTCAGGCTGTCTGGTGGGGTGGTTTGTGGTGAGGACGATTGGGTGAATTTGGACAGGTCGACAGAGGTGATGATTATGTGGGGGACGTTGTAGGTTGCGTGGATGGCGGTAATGGCTTCTGCTAGCGTGCTGAGGGAGGTGATTTTGAGTCCGGATAGGGTTCTACGAGGTATGAGTTACGCTCTGAGACAATAAGTTTTAGTCTGACTCACTCGGCTTCGAACTGATTGGGGAGAATCAGGTCCGCGTGGTGGATGATCCTCTTATAGGCCGGTACCACGTCATTGCTAACGTATAAGCGGCCCTGATCGCCCATTACTGGGTCCAGGACTATGGGTTGTTAGTGAGGACGCTAGATGTGCACTGTGGACCGTGCTCACCCCAGAAGAAAGAACCAGGGTTCTTTTCAGCCTTGCGCTGCAGGTCCATGCCGATAGCTCCTACAGCCTCGACGGCTGCGGCGCTGGGCGCATAGCCGGACAGCATGACGTCAAAGTCTGTTAGATGGCTCTGGCATAGGCCCTCATAGATCTCAGTAATCTGTTCGGCTGTTGCCCTCGTGCCTTTGAATTGCCTGTAGCCGGTGTGGTTGCCTGTTTGGAATCTCATCAGTTTCAGGCCTAGTAGGTAAAGCGTGGGCAAATGACTCACTGAAATGGACGGTATTCAACGCGGCAACATCGCAGCCTAGTAGTTGCATGACAAGTGTTGCCATTTTGTTCCCGACATAACTAACCTCGCAGATTAGCACTCGAGTCATGATCGGTCCAAGTAAATCATTGCGGGGTGATGTCAAATCCGGAGAGTAATGGATCTCCAAATCTCAACAACGGAGACACCTACCCATAGACAACCTGTACGTAACGCATTAATTAGGCTGACCTTCTATAGGGATCATGGCCGCATTTGGCAGGACGACTTACATGGCTTGCAATGGCAAGGACCCGAGTCTCGGGGACTAGAGGGTCTGCGGACATGATGAAAGAGTGGAGATGAAAGACTCCAGAGGGTTCGGTCAAGGCCGTCGATAGTAGCTAACAGGTGCTCCGAACAAGACGATTCAACGATAGAGTGCCACCATTCGTAAAGAGTCAGAAAGAAGTTCCCTGTCCCTATCCATAAGTTTCTTAGTCAGTCGGATAGAGAAAGTGGGATGGATTCCCTGGGCCTTGATTGGCTGGTGCCTCCGGTTGTCACTTCCATCCGATATGCTTATCGCCCCGATAAGACCATAACTTCATCTGCCACATTGTATAAACTATATGGTGCCTGGCAGTGGATTCAATATCTCCTGTCGCCGGATGTTTTCGCTTAAATGACATTGGTAAGTCCCTGTATCTTCTTCAGACATGAGAAGCCACACCAATTATGTGCAATGCAAAATGAAAGTCTCCTATCTATATCACAATTTACCATGGGTCCTTCTATGTGGGCTGATCTTGTTTTAGTACGTCGGATGCGTTTAGATATATGTGAAATTCTGATATATGAGGGCAACCGATCTTAGCCATAGCTGCTAGTAAGGTCACTCTTTATATACCCAATCCCTTGTTCTAATTTTTAACTAGCCCTGGACGCAGGGATGACGTTAGTGATCCTTAACCGTTGCGCTTCCCTTTGGGATAGAAAAGCTGACTACACTTGTTCAAACCACGCTCTCAACGATGTTTTGTGCTTCTTAAAAAAGAGTAGGATGCGATGCCTATCCTTTTGCTATGCCTGGTAATCCGCTACACTTTGCCGTCGGTCGTTCGTGCGTCGAACTAGAGGTGATGGAGGAGAGTGAGATCTCGATCTGATGAGTCCACTGACTCGTCTCGGTTGCGACACTGAGAACCAAGGTGCAGACGGATTCACCCTCTTATTTGGAATTTCATCATCCCCTATGTACAGGGTGTGGATCTCATTCAAGAAGTTCTTCAGCGGAATGCAGAGCCGTACGCCACGACCACCTTTGGTGAAGGAGCGATACACTCGGCCAACCGCTTCACAGAAAATGGTCTGTCTGGGACCATTCCCGACGGGCATCTGCTGAAGTATGCATTGTTCTTCTGCTTTGGGCGGTTATGACCTAATTCAGTTGAGTGCTATAGAGGGTAGTACTTCCACCTATGCGCTGGGTTATCGTGAGATCTGGTTCGAATGGTGCGCGGCTTGAAGGAAGTGCGTGTGGCAGACATTGACAGTGTACTGAAGGGGGATATACCTCTAAGCTCCATTGTGAGGGAGACGGGACCGATAACCGTATGTCAAGTGACAAGCAACTCTTGAACGAAAGGAACTCCGAACTAGACGGAGAGGTGGGTGACTGCAGTCATCAGGAGAAAATGAAACAAACAGTACACCGAGCTCTTTTGCACTTTCCATCCACGTTTTCCTCTGCTGGGAGAACTCCATTCCTTTGAATGTTCCGCCCTGCTCTAACAAATATGGCCTGTTGTGTTGTGTAGCGATCTTAGCCGTAGGAAACGAGATACGTATGACAATTCCCGCGGAGCGCGGCCACGGGGTTTTTTTTTTTTTTTTTTTTTTAAAAAAGCGGTTGCATTGTTGGTGAGGCTTCAGAAACTGGATAGGTTCGAAACAAGAAAACTGCACTGTATTTTCTATATAATTCCTTGTATTGGTCAGCATGAAAAATTGCTGTAACTTGGTGGATCGGAACTGTATAACAACCACTCTTACCCAAATACAGTTGAGGGTAATCACCTAAAATGGTAACTCTGGGCCGAACCATCGCAACCGAGTAGCTGGTTGTTTCGCGTGCCTGCTGTTCCACCCGATCTGGTCTCCGCTCTTCTCCACTCTCACTCGGTTCAGTGTTGTAGACTGCTACACCGACCGGCACGAACGGGACCTCGCACGGCATGGTATAGAAGTGGGGATTCACCTCCTGCATGTAGTCTGTTTGATCAACGTGGAGATGGTCATGTAACCGAGCATGGATAGAGGAGGCTCCAAGCGCTCTGGTAACCTGGTGGTCCTAATTGATCGGATGTCGGACTGGACCCAACCAAAACTTTTCCCTGCTGCCATGGATGCATTGGACAACCACCCAATGGAGGCTCTTTTTCTAATTTGAGATGAATGAACTGTGGAGCATGGCTGGTTTGGTCCAGGAGAAACAAAGGAATGAGAATACTAGTATAGAGATGCAGATCCGGCGATGATAGGATAGGGAGGAGAACTGCACCGTGCCCGGAGTGTATTTGGTGGAGAACGGCACAGACGGAGAATGAAATGCGTCCGTGGCTGCTGCTGTTGTTGTTGTTGTTGACCAAGTATGAATGGGTTGGGAACTTGGCATGTCCTGCAAGGGTGCCCTTTTCTTTTTCTTTTTCCTTGTCAAGTCTAGAATCAGGCAAGTAAGGCCACAGAGCATACCGTGACTTTAGTAACCCTGACATGATCGATGTGACAACTCAGTATCTGGAATGCAAGAAATTGAGTTAAGACTTTTCTAAAATTTTGGTTCGCTTTTGACTCTTTTCTTGATTTTTATAGCTTTGATTTTGGTTTCTTTTCATTCATT